GGGTCTCCTTGTCTAATTCCTCTCGAAGGGGTAAAACTACTAGTCACCTCCCCATTCCATAAAATGGAAATGGATGGCGTAGTAATGCAACTCATAATTAAATTAACCAAGGAAGTAGGGAAGTTAAGGCCAACTAAAGTCTCACGAATAAAATCCCATTCTAAGCTATCATAGGCCTTAGAAATATCGATTTTGAAAGCCATAAGATATTTTTTGCTAGCCTTTTTAAAAAAAATGAGCAATTTCTTTAATGACAAGCACATTCTCATCGATAGTTCTTCCTTCTATGAAACTTGATTGAACCGGATTTATTAACTCACCTAATAGGGGCTTAATCCTATTAGCTATAACCTTAGTGATAAGTTTATAGATAGAATTACATAACCCTATAGGCCTAAAATCATTCATTTTCTCCGGGTTATTAATTTTAGGAATAAGACATATATAAGGCTCATTAATATAATCTGGAATTTTCCCATTCTTGAAGCTATTTGAAACAAGTCTCACAATAGAGCTGCCCACCACATCCCAATATTTTTGAAAAAATTTTGGTTGAATTCCATCAGGACCGGGACTTTTCATAGGGGCCATCAATTTCAACGCACTCCTTATTTCCATATTGGTGACTTTACTAGCAAGAAACACTAAGTCATCATCTTTTATTATCGAATTAGGCATGAAATTAACACTCCTACGTTGACAGGCATGCTTCGACTCAAAAATGCTTTTGAAATAGTTTACACACATATTTTTTAGCATAATTTGGTCGTACACCCACTCCCATTTGTCATCTTTTAAGCATAAAATTTTGCTTCTAGAGTTCTTAATTTTAACCAAAATGTGGAAGTATTTAGTGTTCCAATTCCCGTATTTTCGCCAATCAACCCCAGCCCTTTGAGCCCAAGAAATTCTTTCGATTTTAAGGACATCATTTAACTCTTTTAGAAGGGTTTTCTCAAGATTGATTAAGAAGGAGGAGTGCTTAACACTAAGCGCTTTTTGAATTCCATGAATACGAGCAATAATTCTATTTTTACTTTGAATTGAACTGTTAAAAACAAATTTGTTCCAAAGTTTGACATCACTAGTAAAATAATTTTTTGAATCATAGAAATTATCTCCCTTCCCCCACGACTTAGCAAAAAAATCATCAAAATTAGGGTTCTCTAACCAAGCCTCTTTACATCTAAACGGATAATTAAAATTGCAATTAATTAAACTAGTATCCACAAGAATTGGACAATGGTCAGAGTAAGTTTTTGCGAGGTGAGATACCTGAGTTTGTGGGTGCACTTTCATCCACTCAGCAATAACAAGAGCCCTATCATGCCTTTCCTTTATTAAATCCGTTCCATCTCTACCATTATCCCACGTAAACGCAGGGCCATTTCGCTTTAGGTCAATCATACCCTCCGCGTCAGTCCATTTTGAGAACTCTTTCCCTTGTGAGTTTGTGACCGGTCGTCCTCCCATTTTTTCAGATTGGGTTAGGACCTCGTTCATATCCCCAAGAAGCAACCAAGGAGTATTAGAAGGTGGTGAATTTTCACCAAGAGCCCTCCACAAATCCCTCTCGTCTTTTGATGCCGAAGGTGCATGGATCCCGGTTATGAGGATCTCAGGATCAGCAGGAGACATTTTGAAAAGAGAGTGAATAACGTGGGGTGAGTCAGTTCAAAATCAATTAAAGTTGCGGGTTTTCGCCAAAAAAGCCAAATACCCCCTTTAAGCCCATTAGCAGGTAGGGTTCTAAAATCTTCAAACCCTAACCTCTTGCACACGGCTCTTGCAATGTCATCAGTTGACTTTGTTTCTAAAAGAAAAAGAATATCTGGTTTATGCATCCTAACCACCTCCTTGGCATGTGGAATAAATTCCTTACTGGAAGCTCCCCTGACATTCCATAAAATTGTCTTCATATTAACCACAGGCAGAGAACATTCAGGGAAAATCCCCCTTTCTTGTTCTCTATAGTTATTCTTGGTCGGGAACAATGCCCCCCAATCCCTCCATAGGTCGAGCTTCCCCATAGCCCAAATGTCTTCCATCGACACTAATTGTGCAATCATCTTGATTTGCTGAATCAAGTTGCCCGTCGAGTTGTAGATGAGATTCATTTCCATCTCCACTGCTTCTTTTCGAGTTTCCAACGCCACAAATATATTTCTGTGTTCCATAAGATTTAAAATTTGACTTGCAAGTTGCAATGGATAGATTGGGGGATTTTTTGGTGGGGCTTCTATATGGGTGAAAAGATTTTCGTAATCTAGTAGGGAAGGGTGAATACACTAATTCATCATTATTTGAATTCCCATGTTGATTTGGTTCAGTTGTTCGCTCGGAACCGGATTCATTCTTAGTACAGGCCATAGGTATGGGGTGGGAGATGATGGGAAGAGGTGTTGAGCTAGATATTGAGGTGAGGCCTGGTAGAGATAAGACGGGGTTAGGGTTCGGGTTAAGTTCGAGAGTTGGGGGAACATGGTCGGTCGAATTGCAGGGGAAAGAAGTTGAAATTGATGAGGATGGTATGGTGATAGGCGGTAAATATGGCGGTTCAATGGGGAAATCAGTCGATTTGGGGACAAAGGAGGTGGTACGGTTTGAGCGTTCGATTCCCTGTTCATCGGAGAATGGTGTTCTTGGGGTTCCCGATTTTCCATGATTAGTATCAGTTGAAGGGCAAAGAGAAGGGGATTTGGTGAATTGGGAAGAAGATGATTGATTAATGGAAGTGATAGGAGTTTTAGAAGGAGATAAATTGGGTTGGATTGAATCGGGACTCGGCACCGCCGAAGAGGCACCATTGGTGGTTTCATGGTACGAAGCTCCGGGAACAACTATGCCATTAATATTGGTAATTCCCGATATTGATGTTTTCTCTGAGTGATATCTTTGCTTGGAATCTTTTTTCTCTTTTGCAAGTTCCCTAGTAATATTTCCCTGTTTTTTATTCAAAATTGCCGGCTCCTCACATTCTTCTTCTAAGAGAACCCCCCATTGTATTTTTTTAATTGATTTTGGCGGTTGTTGGCTTCCCTAGATTGTTTCCCTTTATTTTTCTCATTTGTATTTTTTTCCTCCTTCTCCTGTTTTCCTTCCTTTTTATTTTTTTCTTCTTTTTTATTGTATTTTTTTCTCGGTGCTGCTAATACCCAGGGGCCATACTCTTCCTTTTGCTCTAGCTGTAAATCTAGACCTCCCCTATTCTCCTTTTGTGTAACACTCTCCATGGTATTGTTTTCGTGGTGTTCCGAGCTATTTTGCCCCTGTTCAATTGCTCCCCTGTTCTTCTTTTCCCCTATCATGGTCTGAGCAGTACTCTTTCCTTTTTTCAGATGACATTGCTCTTTTGAATGGCCAATCCTGCCGCATTCAAAACATAATGTATGAATTTTTTCAAATTCAATTCTTTGCCAAGCTTTACCAACCCAAACCCTGGTGATTAACGGTTGATTAAGATTGATCTCGACACATACTCTTGCATACCTGTACCTGCTTATCTTATCTGTGGAATAATCTACTCTGATTGGGTTCCCTACCACCTTTGCGATGTTGAACAAGGCTTCCTTGTCGTAACATTCTACAGGTAGCTCTGGAAATCTAATCCAGACTGAGATACTCTTGAAACTGTCAGATGATGGCCTAAAATTGGGCTTCCATTTTCCCATCATTAAGTAATGATCAAATATGAACCAAGGTCCCCCAAATAGGGCCTTTTCGAGATCATCCTGCAATGAAAATCGAAATAGATACACCCCATTCTCCATTTCAATCACTTCTAGCCCTCCTCTTGGATTCCACATTTTGTGCACCCTTTGATTCATGAACTCAGCTCTGATTTTAATTCCAAGACACTTCCCTATTAGGGTCAAATTCCATGGTCTTCTAAGTTCTTGGAGTTTTTCTTTTTTTGAATTTAACAGCATGCACATGATTAGTGAGGTCTTCATCTTCCTCCTCCCATTCCTGAGATGCAATCATGATTTTTCTTGCTTCTTTGAACCATTGGGAAGACATGGTTACTGCTTCTCTAAAGGATCCTACACCCTTAGTGACAGGAATGCTACTCTTACTGTCATTAGTAGCATTCCCCCCTGTATTTACCTTGACAGTTTCCATATTAGCCACCTCCTCTTGCAATGAGGTAACTTGCCTTGCATCTTTTGCATCTTCCTGAGTACATTCCATATCCTCAATAAGTTGAATTTGTTGGGTGTTATCTGTGCTTATATCAAGTCTAATAACTGATTTGTGCACCAGGTCTACTTCCTGAGTAGACTCCATTTCGATATCCAAAGATGGTTGCATACTTACTAGATGACTAATGGACTTAATAGAACGGAATTAATCTAAAAGAAAGGCTTAAAAATAGCTAATCTAAATGCTAAGTAGCAATGAAAGAACACTGCTTGCTCCCTGCTAGAAGAAAGCTCCCGGAGCTCCCAAACACTATTGTGTTGGGAGGTGTTCTCCGATGGCTAAGCATCTAGAGAGAGAAAGCTCCATTACTTAAAACGGCGAGGTCTTTAATTTTGTAATGAAAATAATTATGAAAATTGCATATAAACAAAACCGTTATTACTCCGGCCGTACGAACCTAACAAGACCCAAGATGGTATATGTTTTCGGTTAAGAATATTATACACAGTAGGAAATTTTGACAATTACCACCTTCTATTATGTCCATTTTAGCAATTACCACCTTTTTTTTTTTTTTTTTTTTTGTGTGTGTGTGAGAAAATTACCACCTTCTATTTTGTAAAAGCATCAAAAACTATCACCTTTTTACCTCTCAACTAGGAGTGAGAAAAAACTATGGGTAACCGGTTTTGGAACCGAAACTGGTTTAGACCCGATGGGTCCAAACCCGAACCTGATTTTGCCGGTTCCAATTCCGGCTCCAAAATTTTTGGACCCGGTGCCCACTGGGTACTCGGTCTTGGAATTAGATAATATAGTTGAGCATCCAGTGACTAGTGAGCCCAAAGTACAACAAGCCCAATATGTATAAGACAACCATAATTTATGCTTTAACCCTAAAATATCCCACTCACACTCTCAGCCTCCACTATCACAATTTACATATTCTCTCACCTCTCAAGTCTCACTAATTCACGGGTCACTTCTCAAGATCTCAATCTCTAACCGGCTCGATTCCCTCGTATGCTCATCATATTCTAGGTTTGTCTTCTCTCCTCTATATCTTCCTCCGCTTGTTATTTTCAATGTTGATTATGTAAATTCATGAATTATTTTTCTGAATTTTTGAGTTATGTTACTAATTAATACCGGATCTGTGTTTTTTTTTCATTCGGGTGATTTAGATTTCTTGAGACTTCTTTTACTTTTGCATGTTCATGAAAATTGTGCTCTTTTTTTAATTAAATTGAGATTATATTTTGGTTGACAACTTGTTGTACATTAAGTTGTTCATCTTTCATCAATTTTGTGTGCGTGGGTGTTTATTTGATTAAAAAGTCATTTTTTTTTTTTCTTATTAAGTTTATTGCTCATCTTGTTTACTATTTTTTTTTCAGAATTTGGTGATAGTGGTATGACACAAGTAGGCAAAAATTGATGCGGCAAAGGTGTGCTTCAAGTTTGGAATCAAGAAATCTATCCTAATAAATTTTGGAAGCTTATATGTAGTTTTGTGGACATTATGTTTGCTTATTGTAATTTTAATGAAATTTGTATAAACAAGTTTTTTTCAATTATTTTTAAGATTTAGGGTTACAAGAAGTCAGGAACGAGTTAAAGACTTACAGTTCAAATTCTAGGTTAAAAAAAAAAAAAGCAGTTTAATACTATAACTTTTAAACCGAAAAAACAAAATTAAAAAAAGGAACTGGGTACCCGGAATCGGAACCAGTTCCAAGATCAGTTCTAAAAATTCAGGACCCGGTTAAACCAGTTCCAAGACCAGTTTCGAAGAAATCAACCGGGTACCCGGTCTTGCTCACCCCTACTCGTCAATTGGGATAACCGGATGGAGGTTGGGTCGGGTCTATTCGAATTGGATATATTCGAGTCAAAATTATTCTTTTAACTCGGATCGAGTCGGGTCGGGTCAAATTCGGGTTGGATCAAGGTCGAGTCATGGTCAATCGATTCCGGGTCGGATATGGGTCAGGTCAACTTCATATCGGTTCACTTTCGGTTCGCTTGGATCGGGTTCAAAATGGGTTTAACCGGGTTATTTTGGGTCAGATGGACTTGGGTCGGGTTGATTTCAGTTCGGATGATTTTGATTCGTTCAAGTTCGGTTTGATTAAGATAAGGTTGATCTGTACCGTTCATTCATTATTGAAAAATGATAGTTACATATGGTGGTGTATAATATACTAATAAGAATGTCTTCTTTTTAAGGTTATTATAAATCTTCAATTGTACAATATTTAATGTAATCTTTTAGATGAGACGAATATTAAGCTTAGAAAGTAATTTTATATAATTGGTATGTACATGAAGTAAACTTGTTACTCCGAATTTTTTATTTGTTGTAAAATAAGATGACTTATTAATAATTAGTAAAATAGTAGTATAAGAACTTGAATAAAAAAGTCGGTAATTAATTGTCGTTGGGTTAAATTCGAATCGGGTAAAAATCTAATTGGGTTAAAATCGGGTCGGGTTGATGTCAGTTCGGGTCAAAACAGATCGGATTAGATCGGTTATTTTTCGGGTCAATTTCGGATCGGGTTGAGCTCGGGTCGGGTAAAATCGGTTCGAATTAAGTTCAGGTCGGGTCAAATCAGATTCGGGTTGTGTTCAATTCGTATTAAATCGGTGACGAGTTAGTTCAGATCGGGTCAAGGTTGGATTCGGAACGAGTTTGATTCGATTACAGATCGGGTTTGGGTCTTGATTTTCTCGGATCAAATTGAATCGGTTACAGTTCGAAGCGAAAATTTTTTTCGGGTCGGTTAGGTTTTGACACCTCTACTCCCAAGTCCTAACTGCCTAATGACGTTAGCTGGGCCCCTTTCTTTACCTTCCCTCCTAATTTCCCTCCCATTTCTCATTCCTAACTCGATTTTCATTTCCCCTTCACTTTTTTTCCCTCAAAGAAATTAGAAACACTTCAATTCACTCCTCGCTCCAAACAAAAATTCACGAACATTATTTGGTGTTGCTGCAACATGACAACGATTCCACGAAGAAAGGTATGTTGTTCATCTTAAGTTAGGGGGTTTCAATTTACTTCAGGGTTTTTTTATTTTCATTTTGGGGATAAATCAGTGTAGTTGAAATTAGGGTTTTGTAATTCAAATAAGGGGTTAGGAGAGTTAATTGGTGAACTAATTAACAACAATTTGTTAATTATGACATGATTCTCTAAGTTATATGTAGTTATAGCTAGGCAAAGGTTTGATTTTGTGTAGACACAATTTCACATCTGCAAGTGTGGATATCCAACTTCCAATCTGACTTCATGGACTAAGCAGAATCCATGGAAAAGATTTCAAGGTTGCCAATTTTACGAGCCTGATAGCTGGGGTTGTGACTATTTTAAATGGGTAGACATTGAAATGACTGAATAGCAATAGGATGTGACTAATTCACTAATGGCTGATGTGAAAATGCAGAAGATTGAGTTGAGAATGCTTAACAAGGAGTTGGATGATGTGAAAGATGGAAAAGGCCGCCTTGAACATGAGAATGAAGCACTCAAGGGTCAATTGACAGTGATGAAGAACCATGGATTCATGTTCCCTGCATTTTGCTGTCTGCTAGTGTTTGTGGTTGTTGTTGTTATACTGTTTAGGTAGCTCAAGTAGTTTAGGCTAGTTTAGATGTTGGTGAAATCTTATTGGTGGTTTCCTTTGTGTTGAATTAGCTAAGAATGAAGCAATGTATTGCCTAAAATGTAATTGTAATGTAAGCTGGGAATCTTTTAAAAAACATTAATTTAAATGGTCTAAAAGGTGGGTAATTATTTTTATTTTTTTACATTTCGAAGATCACAATTTGATAAAAGTTTTTTGTTTTTTATTATAAAACCAACAAAGTATATATATATATATATTTCTGGGGCAGTGTATCACGGTGCTAGCATTGTCCCAATGGTCACTTCCTCTCTCTCTCTCTCTCTCTCTCTCTCTCTCTATATATATATATATATATATATATATATATATATATTTGGGGTAGTGTATCACGGTGCTAGCACTGTCCCAATGGTCACTTACTCCACATCTTTTAACCTACTACCAAGCATGAAGGTCAAGGATTCGATTCCTCTCAACCCCCCCCCCCTATTTTTTTTAAAGATTTATGGTGGTTAAACGTAACAAATTTTTAAAAGAAGGTAATTATTTCTTTTGCAAATTTCTAAGATCTCAATAAATAATTTTTGTGAATTTTTTTTTTAAAAAAAATTATAAGACTAATATATATATATATATATGTATATATATATATATATTTTAGGGGCAATGTATCACGGTGCTCGCACTGTCCCATTGGTCACTTACTCCACATCTTTGAACATACTACCAACCATGAAAGTCAAGGGTTCGATTCCTCTCACCCCTCCCGCCCGCCCGTTTTTTATTTTTTAAAAAGATTTATGGTGGGGTGAACGTGACAATTTTTTTTTTTAATTTGGAAGATGACAATAAATAAAGTATGTTACTTTTATTATTTTTTTTACATATTTTTTGTGTGACATGCTGACAGACAAAATATATGTACATCTTTTTGGGGAAATGTATCACGGTGCTAGCACTGTCCCAATGGTCACTTACTTAACAACTCTCAACATATTAACAATATAAAGGTCAAGGGTTCGATTCCTCCAAACCCCCATCCCCCGAGTTAAGTATACCATCAGTCCTTTATGTTTGAGCTTTGTTTGATTTTAGTCCCTAATGTTCAAATGGCTGAATTTAGTCCCTAACCCACCAATAAGGGTGGTGATTAGGGGATTTTTATCCACCAATCACCGTCTGACAAGTGGACCAACCAGGTTCCGCCACGTGTCCTTCACGAAGGCCAACAGGAGCTTGCCACGTGTCAATCACAGATACGTCCTCCACGGACCACTTAAGACACGCCACGTGTCCACCCATGCCAAATGGGACAACCGGCCATCAAGGCCCAATTCAGTCTAGAGGCCCGATCAGCCCTAGGTTTACCTTAAACCTAGAGAGTTGCACGCTTCCCAAGGCTATAAATACTCGATTAATCCTCATTAATCGGGGGATCGAATAATAAAAAGATCAAGCAGAGAAGAACAGAGTTATTAACAACCGGCTAATCTCGCTAACAACGCAGATTACCAACACTAAGCACTCTCACCTAGAGAGATCTCATTACTTTAATTTCTGTATTGATTACTCCTTAATCGGGTACTAACTTGACCGTTGGAGGCGGAGCTCTCAGGAGTCTCCGTTATTTTGCAGGTACAGGCGTCCGGTTCCAGTCTCGGAATTGTAACTCTCCCGCAGGACATCAGAAAACCCCGAAACATTTGGCGCCGTCTGTGGGGAGAGTACTTCAGAGATGGCATCCAAGTCTGTACCGACTCCAGAAGAGAGGCGTCCCCTAGACGACCCTCAAGTTCAGTCGGACCATGATACCGAAAGTGAATTTGAAGTTGAAACTCATACAGCTCCAGACGGGACCCTAAGGGCCCGACGTACCCGTCATACCGAAATGAGGGAACGGGAGTATCCTCGAACAGGAAGCGAGCCAGCAGGCGCATCGCTTGCTCGGCAACAGCCGACTGATGGGTCTGCTCCCATCACAAGGAACGAACTCATGACCTTCATGAGGGACTTCAAGGGAGAGATCCAAGAGATGATCAACAAAAAACCGCCTGCTTCAGTCAAAGAGCAGTCGGCCAAGAAACCTTCCACTTCACTGAAGAGGAAGCCAGTTCAAGGGCGAGAGATGACTCCCCATCCTAAATCCAAGAAGCGGGAGCCATCTGCTCTTGATTTCACAAAACTCCGTTATCCTACGGGAAATAGGAAACTGGTTCGTCATATTCAGGCGGACGGGTCAAAGCAAACGTTCACAGATGCTCGGCACCTGCTAGAGCAGAAGAAGAGTGACCGATTATCAGAGTCGGCTTCTACTTCAAATTTTCAGGACAGTTTGCGAAATGCCTCGATGAGGCCAACTCAGTCGTACCATGAGAGTCAGTCAGGCGGCACCTCCCGTTAGTCCGGCTTTCATAGTGCCCAGGCGGTACCAAACTTACCATTTGTGCCGCAACAACAGTATTTTATGCAGCCACCTCCATTTGGTGGACCTGCAGCAAAAAACGTCCAACCTATGGACTGGCAGCTACGGCTGCTTAGACTTGGTGAACAGCCGTCGGCCTTCTCCAAGGAAATTACTGAAGCCGCTCAGCCGGCCAAAGTAAAAAATGTTCTAGTAGGCGCCTATGACGGCACTACTAACCCAGAAGACCATCTGATGGCATTCACCAACCTGATGTACCTTCAAGGGTTGGATGATCCCACCTGGTGCAAGTGTTTCCCAGCGACTCTCAAGGGAATTGCACAGCAATGGTTCGGCAACCTGCCGACTGGTTGTGTAAACAGCTTCAGGACGCTTGCTTACTTATTTGCCTCCAACTTCGCTATGAACATCCCTGCGAAGAAAACGACCCTTGATTTGGGAACAATTCAGCAGGGCGAGAAAGAGGGGCTCCGTTCCTACATCAGGCGGTTCAACCTGATGAGAATACAGATTCAGGGGTTACCGGATGAGGTAGCTTATACTGACTTTTTTAGAGGTCTCAAAGACGGGTCTACCTTCAAATTTGATTTAGTTCGAAAAAGGGTGGCGACTCTTCAAGAGGCCTTGATTGAAGCAGAAGCCTATATACAGGCGACTGATCTGTGTACGATGAAACAGTCGGACGGGAAGAGGTTCGACAACAGAGAGGGACGACAGAAACAGTCGTCCAACAAAGATGAAAAAAGAAAAGAGGTCTGGGCGGCTGATTCCTCTAAACAGCCGGCCCAGAAAAAGAAAAAAGAATTCAAACCATACTCCCCAAAGTATGTGTTTAACAAGGATAACCAGTTTATCCTAAAAGAAATAAAGGGACGGCTCTCAATTGAGAAGCCGCTCCCCATGAAGGGTTCTGCGAGCAACCGGAACCAAGACAAAATCTGTGCTTATCATGATGACATTGGTCATCACACCAATGACTGCATCAGTCTCATGCGGTACCTAGACCGCTTGGCTGATCAAGGTGATCTTGACACTTATGTCAAGAAATCTACGGGGAATACTTCCTCAAAAAAGCAGTCGGCCAAAAAGAATCAACAGGCCGACAGTTCCGATACAGATGATGCAGTCGTCTACACCATTGCAGGCGGCTTCTCAGGAGGCGGCCCCACTATTAGGGGC